TGGAAGTTACCTCTTTTTAAAAATCTGCGAATATACTTCCTGATTGCATACTTGGTGGAAAAGCTTGTCACCTTTTGATCTTTCTGACAGTTGAGATTTAATTGGCCTGCGTGGTCAGGGAGTCTGAGACTTACTAAGCCATCTGGGCTGCTCAGCAGAAAATTAAAGAGTTAAGAGAGAAATGAAGAGTATGTTGGGCTGGCACCACGGCTCACTAGGCTAATCCTCTGCCTGCGGCACTGGCACTTCGGGTTCTAGTCCCGGTTGGGGCACCAGATTCTGTCCCTGTTGCTCCTCTTCCAGGCCAGCTCTCTGCTGTGACCCGGGAGTGCAGTGGAGGATGGCCCAAGTTCTTGGGCCCTGCACCTGCATGGGAGACCAGGAGAAGCACCTAGCTCCTGGCTTCAGATCGGCACAGCTTGCTGGCCGTAACGGCCATTTGGGAGGTGAACCAACGTAAAGAAAGACCTGTCTCTGTCTCTCTCTCACTCTCTCACTGTCTGACTCTGCCTGTCAAAAAAAAAAAGAAAAGAAAAGAAAAGAAAAAGAAATGATGAGTGTTTTGAGGCTTTTTAAAGGAAAGGGAATGGGGCTGAGAATGGAATCTTCCCCATCACCGCTCTAGTCTTTGTTTGCAGTAAAGCTGTGTGTAGCAAGTGCCACTGGAGCAGTGGTTCTCAGCGTGATTTTGCCCTCCAAGTGGCCATTTGTCAGTGCCTGGAGGATGTTTGCTGATCCCAACCGAACAAGGGTGTGTACGCACTTCAGACTTACATGGAGTTTCTGGCTCCTGGCTTCAGACATGCAGTGTTAGAGGCCAGGGTGCTGCCTAGGCATCCCGCGATGCTCTAAACAGCCTCAACAATGACTATCCAGTGCAAATGTCAGTGGTGCCAAGCGCGATGGTGGCCTGCACCAGTGGAACAAGATTCCCCTTTCTTCTCTATTCATTGAATAGTTTCTACAGTGACTACAGTGTTCTAAATGCAGAAAATGAGCTCATATTTTTTTCCTATCTAAAATGTGTACTTCAGGTAGAAGTAGGCAATGTTCATATTGGAGTGTACTTTAAAAAGTAAAAGATAAATTTACTTTTGTATAAAGATAGTTTTGAAATCCATGCATATTAGAGGTTTTCAGAAAGTTTATAAAAATGTGTATTATGAAAAACACTGCGTGGATTTCTGATTTTTGCCAAAATAAACCTCTTTAATTCCATGCCCCCCCCCCTTTTTAAGGGTTTATTTGTTTATTTGAAAGAGACACAGAGAAAGGATGTGGGGGGTTGGGGGAGATCTTCCATCTGCTGTTTCACTGCGCAAATGGCCACAATGGCCAAGGCTGGGATAGGCTAAAACCAGGAGCCAGCAGCTTCTTCAGGGTCTCCCACTTGGGTGCAGGGGCCTAAGTACTTGGACCATGTTCCGATGCTTTCCCGGGCTTATTAGCAGGGAGCTGGATTGAAAGTGGAGCAGCTGGCACCATATTGGATGCTGGCACTGCAGACAGTGGCTTTACCAGCTATGCCACAACACCGGTCCCAGTGATCTTTCTTTAATATGCTAAGAGTTTTTTGGTCATTTGGCCTCTTTTTTTTTTAATTCCATTTTTCTATCCACTTTATGAAGCATCCTTGTATGTCTAATTGAGTTAGTTTGTTGGAGTCTGTCCACATTACTGAACAAGTAGTGCATGCGTCGGGGAGCCCATCTCAACCTTCTGTTTCCTATGAGGAAGTGGAAAACTGGTGTAAGTCTTCGCTTGCCCCCTCTGCGGAACTCTGTTTTGCTTGGGTACATTCTACTATCAGTAAATGCACATATGCAAGGTTGCCAGAGAGATGATGGCACATCCATAAGTTCTGCTGGGATTTTCGGTTGTATTGTCGAAGTGATGTGTGTGTTTCTGATTTTTCCTCTTCATTGCTTCGAGTGATGAGTGGTTAACTCTTGTTAGACCCTCTGAGTGAGGATGCTAACACGTCGAGAGGCACACCCCAAAGACTCAGAGTCCAGACCAGCTGATGCAAAAGCAAGAGGATTTATTCGGCGTCTGCGCAGACGGGCCTCCTAAACTCGGGAGTCCAGAGAGCGCCCCCAGCACAAAGCCACACGGTTTATATACCCGCAGCGACCAATCAAAAGCACTATAGTGTCCATGCACACAGCAGTCCAATCCGTGAGCTGATCATGTGAAAGGCTTGTGTCTTCTAGCCAATCAGCTACGGGATCACATGGGAGGCATGCACCTCGTCTCCATTTTGTAGGCAATAATGTTGGCCCTGCTGCCACTTTTGCATGCTCTTTCTTTTTTTTTTTTTTTTTTATTATTATTATTTTTTTTGACAGGCAGAGTGGACAGTGAGAGAGAGAGAGAGACAGAAAGGTCTTCCTTTTGCCGTTGATTCACCCTCCAATGGCCGCCGCGGCTGGCGCGCTGCGGCCGGCGCACCGCGCTGATCCGATGGCAGGAGCCAGGAGCCAGGTGCTTTTCCTGGTCTCCCTTGGGGTGCAGGGCCCAAGCACCTGGGCCATCCTCCACTGCACTCCCTGGCCACAGCAGAGGGCTGGCCTGGAAGAGGGGCAACCGGGACAGAATCCGGCGCCCCAACCGGGACTAGAACCCGGTGTGCCGGCGCCGCTAGGCGGAGGATTAGCCTAGTGAGCCGCGGCGCCGGCCGTCATCTTGTTCACCCTGAGGGGGACGACGTCTCGCTCCCTTCGTTCCCCTGGAGGGAGAGCAGCGTCCCGCTTCCCACACCGTTACTTGAGTATTAGGAGGCATACAAACTGGGTTAGGTCTTAGCACAGCCCGGCACAAGTGTCACAGCTAGCTAAGCATAGGGTCCCTTATTTTATAACTGCACCTAATTTTAGCTTTGGGGGAAAAAGTTTAGGGCTGTAATTTTAAACTTTAATTTTTATTTGGGGTAAAGGTGACTTCTTGTTTTTAAGGGTATTGGCTTAGGTCACTCCATCTTGGTTTGATTTTTTAGGTTCTTCACTCTGAGGGTGGTTCTGCGTGTCACACCACACTCCTGATGTCTGTTACCCAGGGAGCTATAATTTTGAGTCTTCATAATTTCTAGAGAGTAGAAATCAATACAAATCATTTTCAGCTTATAAACACCCTTGCCTTTAAGATTACCTATTGTGTGCGATCCCTGCTCCTTCCTCATGGTATTTAATGTGTCTAGCAGCTTCCATCCCTACCCCCACTTTCTTGGTTGATTGTGGCAGTTTGTTTTTTATAGACAGGCTGCACATGGCAAGTAATGGTGCCGAAGGCAGTGTAGTGGAGGCTGTTGGGGGCTCTCACATTTGGCAGAGTTAGAGATCCAACTTAGAAAAGGGCAGCGGTTATGATCGCTCCTCTGGCTCTGTCAGCTAATTATGGCAGCTGCAGATGAACCTATACTCCTGTGACAGCTGACTTCAGGGTTCTGGGCCTGGAGAAGTGAGCTTTTACAAGGAGAGAAAGGACCTAGACCCAGCCTTCCTCCATCATACAGGGAGTAGCAGTGGCTCAACAGGACATTCAGGTGTTTTTAGAAAGAGAGTGCATACTGGGAAGGCCAGCAACAACAAAAAGTCCACACCAGTGCCACTGGGATTCCCCTTGCTCTCCACCACTGGAGCCCCAGCTTCCTCCTGCTGATACCGCCTCTGGTCATACCCCATCAGCCCCACTCTCCCCTGCCGTAGGCATTCCTTTGCCTGCTGTTTACCTACACAGCAGTGGCCATTTCACACAGGGCAGTTGGTGGTCTCATTAGGAGGACAGCGTAAGGGTGGGAATAGCTTCTGGATTTCAAGTTGAGACTTCTGGTTCGTGTTTCTCTGTTGGGACAGAAGTAGCAGTTAACTTTCGCAGTAAGTGAAAGTTTGATTTTACAGAATCCCATTATGAATGTGTTACTTCTAAGCCAATGTATTTAATGTATGTGTGAGTTATTCTGGATATCTCAAGGTTTGTATCTTTGAGACCTCAGCTTATTTTTTTCTTTTCGTTTCAAGAATATGAGGGGCGGTGCTGTGGTGTAGCTGGTTAAACCTCTGGCATGCAGCCCCGGCATCCCATAAGGGGACCAGTTCAAGTCCTGGCTGCTCCACTCCCGATCCAGCCTCTCTGCTATGGTCTGGTAAAGCAGTAGAAAATAGCCCAAGTGCTTGGGCCCACACACCTCCATGGGAGACCTGCAAGAAGCTCCTGGTTCCTGGCTTCGAATAGGCTCAGCTCCTCCTTTGGAGCCATTTGGAGAGGGAACCAGCTGATGGAAGACTGACCTCCCCCCGGTCCCCCTACCCCGTGTGTGTGTGTGTGTGTGTGTGTGTCTGCCTCTCTGTCTAACTATTTCAAATAAATAAAGATTTTTTTTAAAAAAAGAATATGCTGTGCGTCATTTAAGATTTTTGTGACAATTAGAAGTAACTGTAGCAGATGTTGTATATTGCCTGTACTTTATTTAAACCAACAGTGGGCCCTCTTTAATTTTCAGGTTTGGATAGTGTTCTTGATAAGCAGTGCTGATAGGTAACTGAATTCCTTAATGAAAATAACTATACTTTAGCTGTAGTATGTACTAATCACCTTTTATGAGTTATCCTTGAAACCTAACTTCTTTCCTACTATTTCTACAGAAAAAAGAATTCCGATTTTCAAATAACCGAAAACAAACCCCTTAATTAAAAACTGCTTGTGCCTGTTTTTGTTTGTTTTGTTTAATCTCTGTGGGATGCTTTAAAATTAATCAGGCTGTGTATCATGGGATACTCTTATCCTACTGAAATTTGGTAGTTTTGAATCTTTGAGTGGTCTCTCCCTTCCACTTGTGACTTGGCATTACTTGAATTCAGCTGAAATGAGTGAAGGGATGCTGGTTGAGACTGCTAATTCCTGTATGATGTTCTATTTTTTCTTATATTAAGAAACTCTTCAAACATGTGCATGCTGCAGGATTTACTTCTGAGTAAACAGGGGTTTTCTTTGTGCCATTTCAGGCCGGAGCCTCAGCAGAAAGCTCCTTTAGTTCCTCCGCCGCCGCCACCACCACCACCTCCGCCACCTCTGCCAGACCCCACCCCCCCAGAGCCAGAGGAAGAGATCCTGGGATCAGACGATGAGGAGCAAGAGGACCCCGCAGACTACTGCAAAGGTGACTGGCTGCGCAGAAGGCAGTGCGGGCTTCCTTTCTCTGCCGGGCTACTCAGTAGCCTGTGGGAAACTGAATGAGGCACATTAGTGGTGCCAGCTGACCTTGGTCTTTATTCAATTAACCTCCTTGGTTCAATACCGTTTTAAATTCTGAGACCATCCCTTTTAGAATGGTACCAGAAAATGTAGGAGATATGGGAGAAAATTGTAAGATACAAAAAACAGGTCCATATGAGGGTACTTTAAAAAAGTTTGTGGAAAATGACATCAAAAGCTAAGTTTATTTTGGCATGAAAATTTTTTAAATCCTTGCATACAAGGTGTCTTCAAAAAGTTTGTGGAAAACGTGTATTATGAAATAATGCACGAACTTTTTGAACTAGCCTTGTCTGCAGATATACTTTTGGTTTCGTTGTAATTCCAAAGATATTTAATATGTTACAGTTAAAGATGGAGGACAGAGTGAGCTGCCTGCATGGGGAGTGCAGGGTGCCAGGCTCCCAAGGCGGGTAATGACAACTGCTGGGCACTGTGTTTAACATTCAGTTTTCTGACTCTTGGGCCTAAAAGAAACTGTTCCTTTCTCTGCATAGCATTGAATGACATAGTGTTCATTGTCTTTAGAAAGAAAACTCGCATGTTTGTTTACACAGAGAGACTTTTTCCTGGCATTGTACTTAAGAAGAAAGACATTCTGTGAGTTCTATTATTGTGTGACATAGTGGATTATGTTTTCCAACATGATTTCACAGAGGACATAGAAACCATTCAAGTGGGAATGTGCTTGTTCATGCTTCGTAAAGACCAAGAGTATATAAAGTCTTGAAGGGTGGGCGTGTCCTGTGATGGTTATTGGGAATGATGCTGTCTAGACACCATCCTTCTTGTAGACTGGACTCAGAATCTAGGAGAAAGGGAAGTTGTCTATTCAGATGGCTGTTTGTTACTTAGTTTACTCGTCTGGAGATTTTTGAGCAATTGGGGAAGTAGTTTATTTGTTACAGATTATAAAACAATATAAATAAGATTTTGTGTAGTGTTATGAATAGGTGGAAAGGGGCCAGCATTGTGGCATATAACAGGTAAAGCTGCTGCCTGCAATATTGGCATCCCATATGGATGCAAGTTCAAGTCCCAGCTGGTCCACTTTTGATGCAGCTCCCTGCTTACGGCCTGAGAAAAACAGTAAAAGCCCAAGGGTTCCTGGCACCCATGTAGGTGACCTGCGTGAAGGTCCTGGTTCTTAGCTGTAGCGTGGTCCAGCACTGGCTGTTGTGGCCGTCTGGGAAGTGAACCAGAAGATGGAAGATCTCTCTCTCTCTCTCCCCAGCTCCTTCCTTGTAACTTTAACTTTCAAAATAAATTAAAAAATCCTTTTTAAAAAGAATTTACTTATTTGAGAAGTCGAGTTATAGAGATAGAAAGGCCCTCCATCTGCTGGTCCACTCCCAAAATGGTCGCAATGGCCAGAGCTGTGCTGATCTGAAGCCAGGAGCCAGGAGCTTCCCCTGGGTCACCCACGCTGGTGTAGAGACCCAAGCACTTGTGCCGTCTTCCACTGCTTTCCCAGGCTATCAGCATTGAAGTGGATCAGAAGAGGAGCAGTTGGGATACCAACTGGCACCCATATAGGATGTCTGTGCTACAGGCAAAATCTTAGCTCGCTATGCCACAATGCTGGCCCCAGATCCTTTTTTTTTTTTTTTTTAAAAGAAAATATGCCAGAAGATGCACATAAGTTCAAGCTGTAAAGCATTGATGAGTCTTTGGGTCTGTGATATTTTAGCAATCTGTCATGTTTCTACTATATGAAGGTCGTTTGTGTGTTGGGTAAGAATGATGTATTTTGAATTATCTGCCAAGAAGAAGAGAAAGTCACTCTACTGTGAACGTCTAAGAACTCGGCTTCCACTCTAACCTGATTCTTGCGTGGATGGAGTTGTGTCAACTCCCGAATGAACACTTTCTGCAAGAAGGCCTGGTTCCTTTTGATGAAGAGTAATATTTAGAAGGAAGATCTGGATATCATGTATGCCTGTTGCTATTGGGGTAATAGTAATTTCCCTCGTAATAATAGTAACCATTAATGTTGCTTCCAGATCTTGGGTCAGAGCTAGTGATTTGTATATTTTCTCTTTCCGTTTATATTTGTATATTAAAATGTTCAAGTTTAGTCTGAAATCTTTGATTCCACTCTAGTAGAGGGTCAGCCCAGTGTCCTCTCCTTCTGTGTTTGTGCTTTCTTCCTTTGATGGTAAGAGTCCAGGCCCTCCTTGTGGCATTTTGTTTGCTTGGTTCATTTCCCATGTGTGAGGCGCCACCAGTCACTGTCTCTGCCATTCCTCTGACCCCTCTCCCTGGCCCCCTCTCTTAGCTGTGCTTTCTGACACCACTTTGCTGACTGATTCTGCTAATGGCTTTGGCTAAATTATCCCAAAATTGGAGGGATGTCTTTTCCAGGCTGGGACCGTTTTACTTTTTTTTTTTTTTTTTTTTTTTTGACAGGCAGAGTTAAACAGAGAGAGAGAGAGAGAGAGAGAGAAAGGTCTTCCTTCCATTGGTTCACCCCACAAATGGCTGCTACGGCCGGCGTGCTGTGCCGATCCAAAGCCAGGGGCCAGGTGCTTCCTCCTGGTCTCCCATGCGGGTGCAGGCGCCCAAGCACTTGGGCCATCCTCCACTGCCTTCCCGGGCCACAGCAGAGAGCTGGCCTGGAAGAGGAGCAACCGGGACAAAATCCGGCACCCCGATCGGGATTAGAACCCAGGGTACTGGCGCTGCAGGCGGAGGATTAGCCTTGTGAGCAGCGGCGCTGGCCTGGGACCGTGTTTACTTAGTCTGAGGTGTCTCCTTTGTTCCCTTCCACTTCATGTGTTCTCTTGTTTTTTATTTTTTATTTTTTAATTGATTTATTTATTTGAAAGAGTTACACAGAGCAGAGGCAGAGAGAGAGAGGTCTTCCACTCGATGGTTCACTCCCCAATTGGCTGCAATGCCGGAGCTGCGCCGATCTGGAGCCAGGAGCTTCTTCCAGGTCTCCCATGTGGGTGCAGGGGCCCAAGGATTTGGGCCATCTTCTGCTGCTTTCCCAGTCCATAGCAGAGAGTTGGATTGGAAGTGGAGCAGCCCATATGGGATGCCGGTGCCTCAGGCCAGGGCGTTAACCCGCTGCGCCACAGTGCCGGCTCCCTTCTTGTTTTCTTTAACTTTATTCTTGGAGCTTGTCTGCCCTTTTCTTAGCTCTCCCAAAACATAATAAAAGATCATCACAGAATATGCCACGTACCTTTTCTCTTTACGAGAGATATTTGCTCATCATGGAAATAGAGTTGTAGGGCATGGCTGGAAGCTGCCTGGAATTCCATCTGTAGTAGCAATGGTGGCAGCCTCTGGGCTACTGCTGTTCCTGGTCATCTGTGACCAGCTATTTGCCTCCTCACGTTTCCAAGTCTCCCCTTACTCAGAACTTACAGACCGTCCACCATCCAACCAAGGCCACTGATTACTTTTTACGCTACTGGAGCCATGTGCATTGTTCCTGTTAGCTCGTTCATCATCCTCTTGGGAGGGGGCTCTTCTCCCTTCTGTGTAGCCAGCTTTTTTAATCTCAGTTCTCCAGGAGCACGGTGGGCTGGTGTCTGAGAGATTGGGTTCACAACCTGGTTCTGTCATTTCCTGGCTCTTTGTCTTTGGACAAGTTCCTTTCCCTCCAGGCTTTGGTGTTTTCCTAGTATAGTTCGTAGTGGTGTCTTACCACCTAAGATACTATACGGATCAAAGTGAGATAAACATGTGAAGGGTGTGGCATACTGCCTGATACATAGAAGGTGCTTAAAAATGTGAATTGTTTTCTTCTGCTCTGTGTCTCCTTCCATGGTTCTTCCCCCATGTGTTCTCTGCTTTGATGCAGCACCTGTTAATGCTGGATCCATTAATTCTCTAACTGCTTTCCTGTGGAAGGTATTTCCTTAGCCTCTGCAGAGACCCGTTGGCACCAACTTTTTTTGGGGTGGTGAAGGGGAAGCATAGGAGCCAGAGAGCCCTTCCCATCTTCTGGTACCTGCTACAGATGCCCGCAGTGGCCATGATCTGTCTAGGCTGAAGCTGGGAAATAATTCCAGATCTCCCATGTGTGTAGAAGGAACCCAGTTACTCAAGATAGGAGTGCTGCCTCCCAGGGTGTTCATTATCAGGAAGATGGAGTCAGGAGCAGAGCCAGGAGTTGAACCTGATACTCTGATGTGGGATATGGCTGTCTTAACCAGCATTTCAGCTGCTATGGTAATGCCTACTCCTGCCTACATTTTTTTTTTTTGGACAGGCAGAGTTAGACAGTGAGAGAGAGACAGAGAGAAAGGTCTTCCTTCCGTTGGTTCACTCCCCTAATGGCCGCTACAGCTGGCGTGCTGTGCTGATCCGAAGCCCGGAGCCAGGTGCTTCCTCCTGGTCTCCCTGCACCCGCACTTGGGCCATCCTCCACTGCCTTCCCAGGCCACAGCAGAGAGCTGGACTGGAAAAGGAGCAACCGGGACAGAATCTGGCACCCCAACAGGGACTAGAACCTGGGGTGCTGGCACCGTAGGCGGAGGATTAGCCTATTGAGCCGCGGTGCCTGCCCCTGCCTATCTTTTTTATGTTATTTCTTTTCTGGGTCAGGAACTGTGGCAACAGATAGTGCAGTTTATTTAGGTTCTACTTCGAGGCCCGGAGGATAGCAAGGGTTAGGCATAGTACATTCTAGAAACGGTCACTTCTGGAGGCCCCTGTGTAATACATGCTTTCATCGAGTTTGCACATAAAGCCTGTGTTATGGCCAGACCTTCTGCTGTGGGGAGATGTTCCAGTCCCATAGTCGCTAGTGATGCCTGGTAAACATTCCTAGTCACCACTGTAAACTCCTGAGTGGAGATCCCTGGGAGTGGGACCTGGGACTCTATGACTTAGTGAGTTCAGCAGGTGATTTTCCTGCACCTTACAGGCTGGGGTCTGCTCATCCAAGGC